AGCATTTTTCAGAAAAAATATGCAATCACTCTTTCTTTAATTTCTTTTCACTCTGCATACACACACAATGAAATGAAAAGTAAGAAAAAGCATTTTGGAGAGTGTGTCATCAAAGTTGAGCAATTCGAAAAAAAAAAGATTGGTTGACAAAATGTTTCTGTAAGTGATGTATTTTCAGAAAAAGTTGATATATAGATTAATGGCCAAAGTTTTCTGTAAAGCATTCACTACAAAGAGGGTATTAAGTAATGAAATTATACATGTTTTATTTGCTTTAGATTTCTGTAGCATGATTATTTCTATTGGCTGTTGTCAGTACCATATGATGTGGTCAGTCGCCTCTTCAGACACATGCACAACTCCTTGCATACTCTCATCTTTTTCCACAAAAGCTGACTTTATAGTGTCAAGAATATTGGATTTTTGTTTTGTGTTTTGTTCTGTCAGAATATATTTTATGATAAAGCATTGCATATTCACAGGGAGGATTTTGAGGAGCAGAAATGAATGGCTAGTTTCTAGTCAATGATGTAGATGTCAGAAAAACCTTTATCAGTTAAACTTATTAGTATGAATGTGGTCACCTATGCTCATAAATTCTGTTTGCTGATCATATAGAATGAAATAAAACATCAATATAGCAATGAAAACTACTAACCACAAATCTTTCATCTGTAAATACCATTTTTAGAATCTTGATTTAATAAGATCCCAATTTTTATTCAAGTGGTTATTTTAATATTGTTTTGAAATAAAACAATAGAAACATTTAATGAGTGCTGAAAAGTTCTCAATCTGGCCAAGTCAAGAAGGGATAAAAACAAAACAAGATTCTGATGTTGGGTCATATTTATTTTTGATTTGACAAAATTTTTTTCTATTTGCTTAGTGTATATTAACTAATCAGATTTTATTATACAAGTCTTACATAGAAAATTATATTTATATGATCAATATATCATCTTTTTTGCTTGAATATTGTTTTCCATTCTTATGGACATCTCTTTTCATGATGAATCACAAGTTTTCTATTTGAATATCTGGAGAGGCTGGTGACCATTTCATTAATTTTTTGTTTTAGAAACAGTTTTTGGCAATATGGGCAATAGTCAGTGTTGCAGAATTTGAGGAAGCATTGTCTTGCATGAAAACTCCTTGGTTGTGACATGTATCACTCAAAAATATCTTTTTTAAGAACTTATAATAATTCTCTGCAGTTATCTTGCTGCCATCATTAACTTTGAAAGGACCTAATATAAATTATTTCTAATAAAAAGAGATATGAGGAGAAACTCATATGGTATATTTATCAGATAAATGTAAGTATATTTCTTAAAATTTCACCATCAGTTGGTTAATAATACCAATTTTATTTGGATGACATTGATTTGCATCATAAAATCTAACATTGAGTGTCACTTTAATTATGATAATATACAATTCTTCCAAAGAGTTTAATTCTTTGTCAATAAAATCAGACTTGAGTTGGTATTGTAGTAAAGGACAGAGGTTTCTCCCAATGGAAATAATGTCATTTGGGCAGATTAAACCTTTCTAATAATTAAATTTGATATTTGTTTAAGTATCAATTTGTTTGACATTTTAAAAAAAAAACTAAAACTTGTAATAATATCAAGTTAACTATATAGGAATGATGACAAAATTGTAAATTCTATTTGATATAAGTAATTCATAAGGGTTTGCAAGTTTTAATTCACTTTTACAATTTTACTTATACATAATCAACTTGGTAAGGGATGTTATGAAAGCCACAGTGGGTCTTATATAATCATTCCATTTTAACAAGCAGAAGAAAAAGTGTTGGTGAAACAGACAAGATCTGTGTGTCAGTTTTGGTGACTACTGAAGGATTGAGAATATAAGCCTGTTTACTATACTTTATTTATAATTAAAATATATCTGTAAAAAGACAGTATGAATAAAGACAAAAGGAAAACTTTTTATTACCAATGCTTTTCATCCCTTAAGGGACTTATCAAGGTTTATGTAAGGATTCTTTATTGCAAAATTTATTTATAAACAGAAGTAAAAAATATCAAGTTTTCAAAATTTTTTAACGCTTTTTTTCGATATGAAAATTCAAAAGCTGAAGTAATTGAAGCATTATTGCACATTCTATATAAAAAACAAAATCTAATGCATTTTAAGGCAATGCACTATCTTTGAATATCTTCATATGAAAAGTAAGTATGTAGAAAATGAAAGATCTTTGCATATTTCTATATGAAAAGATAGCATCTTAAGAGAATGTACAATCTTTAGATATGTTAATATGAAAATTAAAAATCTGAAGCAATTGAATCATTTTTGCATAATTCTACAGAAATCAAATACTAGACTGGCAACTCGATCTCATCATTTTTACTGTTGAAGTATGTAGATGTAACTGTAAGTTCTATTCTAATAGTTTCTTTTCTCACACTTTTCACTTGTGGAACTCTCTTCTGGCTTCTTACTTTTTTATCACCAAGGATCTTCAAAAATTTAAATGCAACATCAATTGTCATCTTCTGTCTTCAGTCTTCTGTTTTTTTATTGTCCTTTCTTCTCACTAATGTTTAAAGAGATGGCTATATAAAGTTTTTTTTTTCAAATTACATGCTATACATGATCTGAGATCATCTCTACATCACATAATTTTAAGAGCAGTAAGGTGGGAACCCTTTGTTTTGAAATCTCACTTGTTCAGGTTGAGTTTTAGCTATTCATCTTCTAGGGTTGCTCTCTCACCTGTAGAACTTGTCACTTGCTTAACATCCAGAATGTCTAGGGATACTCTGTTAACCAACACATTATTTGATGACTGTATTCCAGTCACTGTCCTCCTTCTTTTAGTCATTCAGGGAGTATCAGGTCAAATTTGGAGTGAAGTTGACTCCTTAACCTCTTACTCAGTGATTCTACCCTTGGATACTGCCATTCATAGGTAAAGACTGATCTTTGTGACACTGTCTCATTTGCCTTTTCAGATCAAAGTGACATGTTATACCAAAACACTACTTTGATTGGTGATATCTCTTCTCTCTCCATGATTGCCATAAGGTACAGTGATATCGTTCAATGATACCATTCCCACTGGGCCCACAGGCTTCCTGAGCTTCCATTTGTATAGCATTTCTTGTAAGTACCCAGTGAAATTCTGTGCTGTTGTCAGTCAGAACCTTTCCTATTGGCTCCTGTTCTAAAAACATCTTAAGCACTCCCCTGCGATTATGGCTGCTGTCTCCTCTCAGGTTTACTTCCAGATAGGTATCCATCCAAGCCACAATCTACCACCTGTCTCCAATAATGGATTATGTCAATGGTCAGCCTTGTCCAGTTGGTTTTAAACTTTTCTCAGTTCATGTATACTGAGGGCAGATTCATTGATTGGCACCTATTGCAGTCTCTATCTTTTGGAGAGTCTCCCTAGTGACATGCACCTCAACTTTCCAGACGAGAAACATGGTTCTATCCACTCCAATAGGATGCATCCATTGCAATTCATTGATCTCATCATGTCTCAAACAACATACTTCTGCTGTGTCCACCTCTGTTGTCTCCATCATTGTTTGCCAGCTCTTCTTTACACATGTTAATGCATCTACCTTGTTTTGCTCTGAGGGAACAATGTTTGCCCTTAACTTCAGGTAAAATTCAGCCACCAGTTCCCCACAGTATTCCCAACCACCTCTTCACTATCATCTCTGCAGCACATTTTGTCTTAATCCAACTGAGGACCAAGACTGACTCTGTATGCACTTCTTTCTCTCAACTCCCATTTTAATTTTAGATTCACCCCTTTAATCTAGCATCCAATTCAGTGATGTTGATATGTTTGAAATCCTTTTTTTCATAACCATGCAGTCTCTACAATACCTTTTATTTCAATACACACTGCTGTGGCAATTTTGCTGGAATCTCACCAAATCACTCCTTTCTTTGGCTTGTGCACATGCCAGTTCTCCTGGACTGGGTCCTCTCCTTACCTTATATAACTGCATGCCATCTGACAACAGGGTAGTGACCTACCAACCTCCCAAAGATTGAAAACAATTCCACCCAACTTAGGTTGTCTTCCACCTCAAGGATCTCATTCCTCCTTCTTGAATATAAGTCTACCTGCAAAGCTGAAAACCTTGTAGACTTTTGAAGAATTGGTTCTAATTGCTCTCAAATTTTTGATCTGAAATTGCAGGATGCACTAACAAATTTGCCATTATTAAAAATATCTCACTTACTCATTTTGGAGATGCTATTGTTTTAAAAGTTATCTGCATGGCAAGACATAATCAACACAAAAAACAAATGTAAGTTTGTTTCTTTTTTCTAATATTTTCAGGATTTGGGACAGTTTTTACTGTTGGTGTTTGAAAATATTAAATTTTCTTAATTTGAATCAAAAATATCAAATGTAGTCATATGTTATGTATAGAATTATCAGAAAGGCTTAAGAAGAGTGTTTTTGTTGATTTCAAAATACATTTGATTTTTGCATCTTATAGCATTCCTGAATTACTGAATAGGCAATATTTTTTTAATATAATGCTTCTTTCATCTGACAATAAAAGAATTAAAAGTTGAGTAGAACAAACTGAATTTATTCACTTTGCCATCAAAGTTCATTAGTTTGTAACCTAATTAAAATTTATTAAAAATATCAGGAAAATTTTTAGAAATGTTGCCATATATTTTTCACTTAAAAAATATATGGAAAGAAAATATAATCATCAAAGAAATTTTCAAAAAGACCAAACAATAATAATTATTTTTTTTATCAGAATTCAGTGTTCAAATTTCAATTCTTATTAAATGTTATTCCTTTTTTCATATTAAAACAAAATATTTGATGTTTAACTTTTAGAATTAATCTAATAAAAGTATTACATCAATTTTAAGGCTTTAATTGTCAAATACAGTACAATTTTGCTGTAACCATTTCTTTAATATATTTGGATAAATTATTGAATATTTTGTTTTTATTCTTACTTCAAAATTAGGTAATTAGTGAACGGGATATTCTTGGTACTCAACTGGTTCGTCGAAATGATGAGCTGAGGTTATTGTTTGAGAAGATCAAGATCCAGCAGTCAACATTAGAAAAAGGAGAAATTCAGTATGATCAACGTCTAGAGGATATCCGGATCCTAAAATTGGAGATTAAGAAGATACGAAGGGAAAAAATGATCCTGGAAAAATCTGTTGCTAATGTCAATGATCTTCGGTAAGTAAAACAAAAAAAGAATTTGTGAAATAAACAATTTTATCTTTGTGGTAAAGTGACAGCTATTTGCCTTCATCTGGAAGTTATATTTATTAGATCAGCTCATTCTGAGTAATATCCACATTTAGGGCCAGAAAAAATATTTAAAAAACTCATGTTTCAGTTAAAATTTTTCATTAGTATATATTCTGTCATTATTGATATCAACCTTCAAGCAACTCACAAATTTCATAAACTGGAGTAACAAAAATTATACAACTCCTCCTTTCACCTGAATAATGGTAACAAAATTGAATCTGCAATGAGTTGTCTGTACGTGTGTGTGTATATATATATATATATATATATATATATATATATAGACATTTTAGAGTGCTATCTTTGGGGATGTCGCTGCCTGAAATGCATCTTTTATATGCTAAAAGATGTCAGGAACAGCAAAGTACTCCAGAGTCAGAAGTTGAATATTCCTGGAACCAGGTTTTTTTTGTTTTTTTTTAGCTGCACATGATAACAAACCATTGCTATTAGGAACCATGAACATAAATAGATTCAAATGGTTTGCAACAAGATCTGTGTTTCACTAGTTATCTTGTGAACTCCAACAAAACCCACCCACACTATTAGAGAAGCACCATCAGCTAACACAACACCCAGCTGACAGGCTGGATCCATCTATTTGTCTAAATAAGCTGGAAACATAATTTTTCAGGCAACATAGCACTAGTTTACCATGATCTAATGGTAATGTTCTCTGACCCAGGTGAGGTGCTGTAGTGTCAATAAGGCTACATTTATTGGTTGAATACTATGAAACCCATAGAATGCAGCATGTGTTGTAAAGTGTACTGAACTGAACTTGATACAATCTTCCCCTTTACTGGTTGGTTATCATTTTTGTTTGCTTCTGGCAGTTTCAATTTCCCATTCTTCTATCTGTGGATATCTGCAGTTTTCACATGCTGCTGATGTTTGTCCAGAACATAAATTCACTGTCATATAGGAGGACTGAGATTATATTCAGCACTCTTTTCTTTGTTTCTAAAGAAATTTTCAAGTTTCTAAATACTTTGTTTAGCATTTGGAGGGTATCTTTTGCTATTGAAATGCACCTTCAGGTTTCAGTGTAACATTTTCCATCCTCTGATAAAACATTTCTGAGATATTTAATTTTTGTTCTTGCTTGATCTCTAATTCATAGATCAGATCTTGTTACTCTTGCTGACAACCATATATTCTACCTTCTTATTGATGTTTAGTCTTTTCTTTTTACTTTCCTTACTGTAGGAGTTACTGCAGTTTCTTTTCTGTGCCTGCTAGCAACACTTTATCATCTACATATCTCTTGTTCTTATGATCGTTTCTGCTAATAATTAATCTTTGTAGAGCTTCTAGTTCTCCCAGGATTACTTCACTGTTAAGAATGAATGTCTGATGAGATGACACATCCTTGTCTTATGCCCCTTTATATTTTTGTGTTTTTATTGAATTCATTTTCTATCTACACTCAGGTGGTTTGCTCCCAATATAAGTTCTGAGTTATTCTAATATCTTTCCTAAATAATTCCTAGTAGTTCAAACAGTTGTTGATTTTGTATAACCTATAAAAGAGGCCTTTTGCATTTGTGTTGCATTTTCTGAAATCATTATGAGCATAAATATTGTGTCTTTAATGAAACCACACTATTCTAGTTCTATTTCTGGTCTCATTCTATTATATATTCTGTTCATCAGAATTTAGATGTAAGTTTCCTTATGTGTCTCATAATTTTTGAGATGATTTTTTGATGAAGCTCACACTCATTTGCCCTTGGCTTCTTAGGCAACACTATGAAAATGTTATGTCACCACTGTTTAATATTTCATTTATTATTTCTGTAATCTTGTGAATGTTGAAATTGTCTAAATCTAATAGCATCTCTATTACACTCGTGTATGATCCTGCTGTTTTGTTCCTGTCCATCTTGGCCAGCATTGATGTCACTTCAGACTTCAGATCCTTCCATATTTTTGTCTATTGCAGGTTTTTATCTGAAAGTGTTCTTGAACATATTTGTTTAATCTTTGAAATATTTTACCTTTTTTATTGTCAGTGTTGCCTTTTTTGATTTTATACATCTTGTCAAGGAGCAGATCTTTTGTCCTGTTATTTCTCTTATTATTTTATGCATATCTGCCTTGTCTGTGGGTCATTCTTTTTATTTCTGCTCACTTTTCATAGTCCTTCATTTTTTACCTGATTGTATTTGTTTCTAATTTCTTTGGGTAATGTATTATATTCTGTACCATAAATTGGCATTGTTTTCTGTCTCCTTTTCATCATGTTCAGAATTTCATCTAACATTCACTCCTTTTTTCATTATCTAGTTTACCTTGGGATGATTTGTTTGCTGTTGTTACAAAATTAATGTGTTCTGTTTGAATTTTAATTCTCATTTAATATATTGTATTTGTTTTTAATGTTGTCCATACACATTTTTTTTCACTTTAAAGTATTCAGAAATCTGTCATATTGTAATTTGGGTACTGTTTTGACTTTCTTTCATAGTTTTATTCTGAGATTACTGGAAGGTGGTTACTCACACAGTTAGCACTTGAATATATTTTACTGCATTCCCAAATCTCATATTGTTAGTTATGTAGTTTATCTGTTTTTTTTACTCCTTCTGTGATTTTCTATGTTGATAAATGTCCTGGCTGTTCTTAAAATCAGGTGTTGGCTACTGTCTGCTTGGACCCATTTTCTCCATGTTTATTACTGGTTCCTAATCCAAGTTTGACAACTATTTCATCATCTTGTTCCTTCTCATGATGATTGCAATTTCATGCAATTTGCATTGAGCCTTGGCATTGTCCAATATGCAGTAAAACATATTAATTTCTTCCTCTATGCTTTGTGCTGCAGGTGTATATAAAGCTACAATGGATATATTAAATGTCTTCTCTTTCAGTTTAACTAGAATTCTATTAGTTGACAGTGTCCTGGAATACGAAATTCATGCTTGTTCTAGTATTAGTCCTACCTTCATTTTTTTTCTGCCTGCATATTTGGCCCTTTATCTGTCATGATGAAATGTCAATTATTTGTCCACTTCAATTTATCAGATTTTGGGAGCATTTCTTGTTGATCGCTTAACACTTTTTGAGATACACTATTTACATTATTCGGACTATTGTCCTCATCTTTGTCACCAAATAGTATACATAATACGTCATCTCAGAAATATAGACAGATACTTTTTGTGATGATCTACTATTATCAAATCAAACATATTTTGAAGAAATTTTTTTAAGAAGAAAAAGAAAATTGGTGAGTAAATATTGTTTCTAAGAAATGTCCATAGGAATTAGAAGTTCCATTTGACTTGAGATTTTCTGATTTATATAATTCTCAGTTTAAATGACATATTAATGTCTGAAGGCAGAGACACTGATGTAATCATTCAATTTAAATAACTACTGACCATTTTAAGAAATTATTACAATGTTTAATAAATTCTTTTGAAAACACTTGTATGTATGCATATTCAGATATATTGAATCACTTAAGTTGTCACTTGTAAATGAGTCTTGGGTGGAGAATTTCATAATTGTTTTGATTAATTTTCATATCATATATTTTGTTTGTAAGAACCATCATTTGAATGGATTTCTATATAAGTTAAACAAATGGTTTTTATATGCCTTAAAAAGAATGAAAATCACTATAAAAATCTACTTGACAAATCAATATTTTATTATTAATAATAAAATGTGTGTTTAACTATATTGATACATTTTTATGTAAATATTCAGAATATTGACAAATTTGTTATCAAATATTTTTTTTTTCATTTTTTCTTTTAAGGTTTTCTTATAAACAAGGCTATGCACCTGAAATTCTTCTCAGTTTATTCACATGTAGGAAACCAAAAGTATAAATACTAACACATTCTTCACTAGTTTATATAAACAATATAGATTGATATAGAGATTTATTATATATATGGAGTTTTTTTCCATAGATATCTAAAATACATGTCCAGACTGATTTTGTATTTTCATCATACTTATTACTATATTGTATCTTGTTTCTTTTACTGTAATTATATGTGAAAGCATGAATAAATCTTGTTCATTTTGTGTAAGCTTCCATTAGTTTTCATTGTGAGAAGATTTGTGTATTGAAATGTCCAAGAGACATTTGTTTGTAGAAATCACTATGCATGAAGAAGGCATGTCCTTCTAGGTAAACACATTATCTCTCTGCAAATCATTTTCACTTGTAAAGCACATGACTAATTCAGCATGCTGTTCACCTGCAGGATTACTTTAATGAGTAGATGCTGCATCCTGCCAGCTGATGCTTATTATTAACACATGCAGATGTATGCAGGAAATAATATCTTTGCTTAGTGTTTCTCATACAGGTTTCCAACTAAGCTGCCAATATGATAATTGTGGTTGGAGAGGTAAAAACAGCAATGGTGGATGGGGCAGTGTGAGGAGGAATTGGAAAGAAAAGATAGACTCAGATACATAAGATAGACTGTTCCATCATTTCCAAAGCACTTATTTCTCAGAAGGAATTTGCTTGAAATTCTCAAGAATATACATTAAGATGGATTTTTGAAAACTGACTTCCTATTCTGGTATAGGTGTTGTTTTTAATTGTTGTTTTTTAGTTGTTTATCAAAGATTTCCCAAATAAAAAACTGTTTCCCAAGTTTACAAAGGAAGTGAGAAAGTAAAGTTTAAAATATTTAAATAGGTAAAAAAAAGGAAGAAAATTATGTAAAATATATTATGTTTGTAGAAGATAAATAATCAAAAATATATATAAACATTTTTAGGTGAGATTAACCATTGGTTAGATATATGCAAAAATATTAGAAATACTAAATACTGCTTAAATTCAATAATAATTTTAAAATAATTACAAAGCTATAAGCAAATAAACTTCCTGTATATTAACATTCATAATTTATCAAAATATAAAATCTATGCCATGGATAAGAATATAAAAAATTAATTTAGGTCATAAACAAGGACATAGAAATACATTTATAGAAAATATTTGGAAATAGTCCCATTTCTATTCATAAAAATTCAATTGAAATTTTTATGGGGAAAATCTAAAGTTATTTTTTGATGATGATAGCTGTTAATATTTGAAAGTTTACTGAAGAAAATATAGCTGGTATTGCAACAAAATGTAAGAGTGAAAGTGAATCATGTAAAAAATAAATGAGACATATTGTCATTTTGAATTTGTATTAAAATTACTTCTGATATCTTTTATATTGCATTTTAGTCAAGAAGTGTATGAGACACAAAAAGAACTGCTAAGGGAACGTACTCGCTGCAAAGCTTTGGAAGAAGAACTAGAAAATCCTCTTAACATCCATCGTTGGAGAAAATTGGAGGTAGCAATTTTGATATCTTTGTTTTTAGTTTGAAGAAACAGTTGTCTTGCTAATTTATAACCTTTTCATTTTTGTTTCCTCTACACATTAGTTTACTTCATGTGTTTTTGCTTACATCTTGCCGTAAATTTTTATTAGGTTAACTTTCGTCATTCTAAGTTTTATTTGTGTTTTTATAACATTTTTTTCCAAGAAACAATTTGGTTCAGTATCTAAGAAAATGTAATTAACAGAATTTGATATCCTTGCATTTGCATTTATCATTATTATGCTTTCAAATCATCCTGAAGTGATGATGTAATGTATGATTTACAATATATATTTATATAATGTGTGAGTGTTGAAATACCTTAAGTATTGTGATATTTCTAACATTCATACTTTCACCTCATTTGTCAACATTGGGTTAAAGGTTTTCTATTTTGGCTATAAAACTCTGACTATTAAATCAAAATATCAACTTTTGTAGGTGTTAGAAAACAGATTGAAATGAAACTGATAATGACTTTTAAAAATGCTCAGATGTGCTACACATTTCTAAAACACATTCTTGTTCACTAGAATTCTCTGTTCTTAGCTATTGCCAGACAGGTATTACTCTTTGATATTAATTATCATATGAAATAGCTGGAAATTTGATCACCTTCATTCAGAGTAAGTACCCCCCCCCATGTCTAGTCTCATTTTAGAAATAGATACTATACTTGAATATAAATTAACATATCAATGAAAAGTGTTTTTGGACTTCTGCATTGTTTTGGTTTTATATGAATAATCAAGGTCAAAGTCAGCCAATCAGGGCTTGGTTAAGGCTGAACTGAAGTCACCATGTTATCACATTGAATATTTATTATTACCTACTTAAATGAATGAAAACATTATAGTGAAAAAGTTGCTAATTGAATGAAAGTTGGTGTGTAGCCATGTTGATGGTTAGTTGAGTTTCTATTACCGTGTTGATGAGTGAGGTTTTGTGAGTGTCAGTTGGCTTTGTGTGAGGCAGTCTCTTATCTTCAGAGACCTGTGTCAGGAAGTTTCTATCATAAATATTTGGTTTATTGACACTATTGTCAAATAATTGTATACCTTTGTATTTATGATAAAGATTGGCTCCAGATACAGTTTTGATAAATGATCTTCTGCACCATTTTGATTGGACAGAAAATCTTTTCATTATCTACTGAGAGTCATGGTTTAATTCTGTGTATTTGTAAAATCTACTCTTCTCATTTGTGTGGAAGAATGAAGAAGATAAATACAATAGTATGAATCACTCTTACTCTGGTTTTGTTTTAAAATTATAATCTTACTGCTTATAGAAGATTAGCCTTATTGTATTTAAGTTACTAAGGTCTTTGTAATTCTGTTGAAGGTGTTAGTATGACATCATTTTGAAAATGATTCAGAAGCACAAACAGCAAGTAAGATTAAAATATGCCTGGATATGAAATATTAACATTTATATTTCCTGGTTTATTATACTAATTTATGTATTATTTACAATTATTTAATTCAGATCATCAGACAATAGAATCTTAAAATTATTAGTTTATTTCTTTCCAGTAGATTGCAACCTTGATCTGAGAAATTCTCATAAATTTACATTAGTGAATGTCTCTTGAATAAGAATCTATAAACAGAATACACTACAAATAACATGAAAAGAAAAGTTCAAATGATTTCTACAAAACTTGTTCCATTTGCTTTGTTGCTATTGTATAAAATAACAATAAGTAAATCAGTTTTATTATTTTTCTTTTCTCTGTCCCCTTCAGATTAAGATATAATGACTCAAATATGTTAGATGAAAAGTTCTTTTTCTTAAAGTTTCACAGGTGTATTCAACTAAAACTAAGAAATTTTCTGCAGTAAAAGAAATTTTCAAAATCTCAATCAATTAAAAGGAAAAAAACTGAAAATGTAGCTTGTCATTGGTGGACAATGTTGGGCATATAAACATGTATATTCTGCATAGAAATTAGATAGAGCTGAATGAAAAAGATGATTGGCAAAGATTCTGTGAATTGCATTGACAAATGTAATTTTTTAATGTTTGTTTATTGAGTTGATCAGTATACAAATGATATTGATAAAAGAGGCATAATTTTTCAGTTTTTAAACATGAGGTTTAGATTTTTATAATTTTGGAGAAAAGCACTTGCATGAACTGCCACTTAAGTATTAAGAATAATGAAATATTTTCTTTTATCACAATATAAAATCTTCAGTTGTTAGCATCAATATTGCATTAAGTACATAGATATTATAAAATGATATGATCAGAATAGATAATAAAATGAGTGTGATAATTCTTTCTAATGATTAGTCATTACACATTAACTTCTAAATACAGAGCTTGTTCTTTTTTTTTTTTTCCTTTGTTTTGTTTGCAGAGTAGTGATCCTACTATGTACAAAATGATTCAGAGAACACATGCCCTGCAGAAAAGACTCATCAAAAAGACAGAGGAAGTGGTTGAAAAGGAACTTCAAATACAGGAAAAGGAGAAACTCTACATTGAGTTGAAACATATTCTGGCTCGACAGCCTGGTCCAGAAGTGGCTGAACAACTCTCTATTTATCAGCAAACATTCAAGAATAAAGTTAAACAGATGAAGGTATAAAATTGATTTTTCTAAGCTTCATCTCAACTGCCATTACTATTTTCATGAAGATTCCATTTTACTTAATTCTTTCCCACAATTACATTTTCTGCATTTCTTTTGCATCAAGTTAGCAACTGAAGCATAAAAAAGAAATTTTGTTTTTTATAGTAAACATGTTAGTAATAAGTTTTCTGTTGTTTTTCTGAAAATTAAAAACTGAAAGAAACATAATTAACTATTGCCAAAAGCAAACAAGTGAATGTATTTTTAGTCTATTGAATTATTTTCTTCAGTTTATTCATCTTGAGTGAAAGAGTCAAGAGACATTTTTTTACAACTGATATATCAGAAATCTATAACCAGCTTACATTCTATTTTGCTAACTACGAATTAGATGATGGATTTGCATCCTAATAATCTCTGTTTAGTTAAGTGTATTTTTGAATTTTATTCATTCTTTACAAAGCATACAGTTTCTATTTGAATTCTCTGGTTTTCATTTCTAAAGTTTTTTTACAATATGATCTATTTATTTGAACTCTTTTTGCATTGGATGTTTTTTTATTAAGACAAAATATTTTGCCATTTATAGAAGCTTTAGAAAGAAAAGGAATCCATAAATAAATAAATATGACTATTTGAATATGTTGATATTTTTAGGTCATGGCTGCTGAGCTGACAATGTTTGAAGCACAAGCCAGTGAAGACAAGTATGAAAAAGAGAAACTTGCTAGAGAGTTGCAGGAAGTGAAGAAGAAATACTTCATGCAGAAAAAAAAGGAAGAACAACAAAAGTAAGAGTTCCTTATTGGTTCTCTATATCAAATGAAAAAACAAATGTCTGAAAAAAAATTATCATTCTTCTGCTGTAGTGATTGTTCTTAATGTATATCCTTAACAACCAGAATAGTTTTTTTACACCATTAATTATACTGAAGACAAGCATATAGTTAACAAGTTTATTAATAGAGCAAAAAGGTTAAACTGAAAAAAAAACAAGATAATGTTTACACAAGACAATGTAACAAATACATGTACAATATGAAATAATCATATAAGAAATATAATAAATGCATAGACAAGATAATATATTAAGACCTTGAATAAGTTCTCGCTGTTTTCAAACATATGGCATTCCCAAAACTGTGTGCATGTAGTTTCAGATAGTAATGCATCTATAAGGAATTACTATAAGTAAGCTTGAAATTCAGTTTATGTCATTTTGCCGAAGTGTAAAAAACTTTGTTTTTCATAGTGTTAAACATGTTGGATTTCATGCCAAAAAGTGTATTTGCAGGGAATTTTACTGTACTACTTTATGCAAAAGAAATTGGCACTTGAAGCACACAGAATTCTTGTTGAGACTTACAGCGACCATGCTCTGTTAGAAACAACATGCAGAGATTGGTTTAGATGCTTGAAAAATAATGATTTTGATGTTGAAGATAAAGAATGCTCTGGTGCACAGAAAAAGTTTGAAGACGGATAATTGGAAGCATTACTTCGTGAAGACTCAAGGCAGGTGGAAGCTGAACTTGCAGAATCATTAGAAACTGATCACACAACAGTTTTAAAATGTTTGAAAGCATTAGGAATGATTCAAAAGCAAGGACATTGGGTACAGTATGAGTTGAAGCCAAGAGATGTTGAATGGCGTCTTGTCACAAGTAAACAACTGCTTCAACAACAGAAAAGGAAAAGTTTTTTGCATTGTATCATAACTGGTGATGAAAAGTGGATACACTACGATAAGCCTAAGCATAGAAGATTGTTGGGTAAGCCTTGCTATTCATCAACATTGGTGACAAAGCTGACTATCCATGGTTCAAAGCTTCTGCTCTGCATTTGGTGGGATCAGCTGGGTGTAGTTTATTATGAGCTGCTCAAACCGACTGAAACCATCACAGGAGAGCACTATTGACTACAACTGATGCGTTTGAGCTGAGCATTAAAGAAAAAACTGCTGCTATACAAGCAGAGATGCAAAAATGTGATTTTGCAACATGTTAATGCTAGTCCACATGTTGCAAAATAGGAGAAAACCTACTTAGAAATGCTTAAATGGGAAGTCCTACCACTCTGTAATAAAGGAACAGAGTACCAAAACTAGGTTTTATTCAGTATGATAGAACAGTTAGTACAAACAAAAACTATTTATAAGAAGATACAGTCCATTTTTAATGATAGGCAGTGAGGGGTGGGGAGGAATGTTCACCACACTCTCTCCTGCTTCTGAAAATAATTAGTGGCAGTTAGTCAATCAATATTAAGGAAAGATTATATACTAGCAGGATTTATTTCAATTTTTAAGTATCTCCTTTATAACCTTATTCAATTTAAGGAAATCAGCAAAATATTTACTCATAAATTAAGTGGTCAGGAGGTCTATGCATTTGCACTGATTCATGTAAAGGAATTTAAATTTCATTTTCTGGTGTATTTGTACTAGATTCAGTCTTGTCAGGGTCTAAGGTCTCAAAGTTTTGTGTGGGCAAGTCAGAGTTTTGTATTTCAGGAGAACAGTTCTAAATGAGACCAGCGAGAGTGAGATCTCGGAGTGATACTGTGGTTTCCTTGCCGTTTTGGAGATGAATGTGCACATAATGAGCATTGGTTTCTATAAGTTCTGCCTCCTCCATAATAGGGTTGTACTTCTATTGTCTGACATGATGTCTCAGAAGAACCTTTCCTGGTGTTGTTAGCCATGTTGGAATAGAATAGCCACTCAAGGCTCGGCAAGGATAGTTGAATAGCCGTTCATGGTGTGTAGCTGTTGAAAGTAATGCGTGCATCGAATGTAAAGCATCTTGCAAAACATTCTCCCATTGATTTATAGGTAGGTCTTGAGTTTTTAGTGCTAGAGTTATTGCTTTCCACAAAATGCCATTATACCTTTCGCATTGCCCATTACCCTGGGGGTTATAAGGGGTGGTCCTGCTAGTTGAGATTCTGTGCCCAAGCAAGAAGGATTTCACCTCAGCTGACATGAAGCTGGAACCCCTGTCTGAATGCACGTACATTGTCATACTAAAGATAATAAAGAGTTGGGTGAAGCACTGGATGAATGTTTGTGACAACATATCAGGATAAGCAAAGGCGTCTATTATAGAAATAGAAACCAGTTATGAGAAGAAGATGGCAGGGGGGGGGTCCTTTGTAGTCAATGCTGAGCCTCTCAAAAGGCATGGTTACTTTTATTAGATGCAGAGTGTCAGGTTGGTGAAATCGAGGTTTGCCTTCAGCACATACAGGGCAAGCAGTAGATACTCTCTTCACATCCTCCACAGAGAAAGGAAGATTCCTCGTCTTAACAAAATGCATCATTCGTGTAACACGAGGGTGACAAAGAGAGTTGTGTAATTTCTCTAGGGTGTCCAAACTTAGAGCTGAACAATAAGCTCTAGATAACATATCTGCAACATTATCTCTCCCTGGGCAGGATTTAATAATTCATTTATGTTTCATGTGTGATATGAAATCTGCCTCGTCAGTCATGTATCTTTCGATACATGACTGACGAGGCAGATTTTTTCTCGCAGTTGATTGCCATTTCTTTCTGCAGTAGACCAGTTACTATCCAAGGCTATAGAACCTGGTCTGTCCTGCTATTTACCCATAGCTGGGAGGAGAAGAAAAGGATTCATACCTTTCCCAAGGGTATTAGTGAATGTAAGTGAATGTAATGGATTTGACTGGTATTTAATATTGAAACTATAACAGGCAAGTTTGATGCTCCACCTTTGGATTTTATAATTTTTTATTTTCCCAGCCTGTTTCGAATCAAATATGAATGCCACTGATCTCTGGTCAGTAAGTAAAGTGAAGTGTTGTCCCATTAAATAGAGCCTCCATTTACAAAAGGCTTGAGCTTCCTTTTCTATAGAAGAGTGTTTACATTTGCTGGTACTCAGTGTCCTTGAAAAGAAAGCTACAGTTCTCCCAGATTGGTTCAATGAGGCTGCAATCACGTGGCATGAAGTATCGGTCTCTATGGTGAAAGGAACTGTTTTGTCGATAGAATACACTATTACGTTTTCGACTTCAGTTTTCAGGTATTTGAAGGCTTTTTCAGCAGTCTTGTGCAGTGGAAAACTATTATCTTGTATGAGGTGGGTAACTTTTTCAAAATACTTAGCAGTCGATTGGAAATAATAAGAGAACATTACCAGCTCATGACAAAGAGAATGAATATCATGAGGAAGGGGAAGTTGTTTAAGCAGTTGAAGTTTCTCAGGATCTGGTTTAATTGTATCCTCAGATATTGTGTAGCCTAGAAGGTTCACTGTAGAGTAGGAGAAAGAACATTTATTATAATTGTATTTCTTGGCTGCTTCTGTAAATTTGTCAAGGTTCTCATCATGCTCTTCCTGGCTCTTACCACAGATAGTTATATTGTCTAAGTAGGCAAATGTGTAGGAGAGTGAATTGTCAGCTATAAACTTATCAATTATTCTTTGAAAGCAAGCTATTCTGTTGGTTACTCCAAACACTACCCTGCAAAATTGATATAACTTTCCATCTGCTTCAAAGGCAGTGTAAATTTTGTCTTTATCAGATATTGAGACCTGGTGGTAAGTGGATTTCAATTATAGATTTTGTATTGTGCCACTTTGTTTACCAATTCCTCGATCTTAGGTAAAGAGTAAGCATCCAACATAGTGAATCTGTTAACTGTCTGAGAATAATCGACTGCCAATCTTTTTATGTTGTTTGTTAGTGGCCACTATGACCTGGATCTTCCAAGGAGAAGTGCTGGGCTAAATAATTCCTTCCAAAAATATTCTATTTACTTCATCAGTAATGAAATTTTTATCTTGCTTACTGTATTTTCTAGATTTAACAGCTATTGGTTTGGAATTCTCAGCAAGATTAGCAAAGATTTGGGGAGGGGGAATAGAAAAGGTAGTTAGTCTGCACACATTTAAAGGAGGCCTCTTTCCACCAAATTTCATACAGATACTCTCATGTTGCCGCATAAAGTCTTGCCCAAGGATGACAGCAGCACACAAATCAGGGAGCACAGACAATTTAAAATCAGACTATTCTTGTCTCTCCACTTTATCAGGCAATAATCTAACATACAATACTTACAAGTATTGCTTATTAATTTGCATAGAGCAATGAAGAGGTTGAAAAGGTTCTCAATATTTAGGCTGAATAATATTGGTAAAAATATCTTTTACTCACTTCCAATCCTACTTCCTGTAACATACTTGAAAGAAGGTTTCATTGCATTCTAAACATCAATATACTGATTTCAGCTAGGTAACTTATACAACATTGCTTTTATTTTATGCCTAATTTTTTAGCTCTAATGAATATTTGATGTAGAGACGACCTACTGTTTTGTATTCTATGTGCTACTTAAAATGTTGTTGGATTTGGAAGGATCATGTGATCAAATAAGAGTAGTTGACTTGAAAATCTTTTTCATCTTTAAGAATATGAAGTTTATTTTGCTTGCTTGTTTAGGGCTACATTTAAACATAAATTTTGTTTATAGATCTTTTTTCACTGTGCTCTGCTGATATTACTATGGAGTACTCCCACTAATATCATCTTATACGCACTTCCTAAACAAGTGTTGCTACTGGTTATATTAGATTGAACTTTTGATTGTCTGCTGTTAATTTGCTTGACAAGTTTATGGACTTGAATAATATCTCTCTCCAGGAGTGCCATAACTGGAAGTCTAATTCAGATAAAGTGATCTGTTGACCATAAGTGGGGCTGTCTCTAACAAAAAAAAAAGGGAATATTTGTCCTGTCATATGCGATTTTGATACATTCAAAGCGGTTTGGAAGTGGTAGATTTGTTTTTCCATTGAGTGATTTTGTCTGGAAACTGAAAGCTGTTCTTCTGGTAATCTCTCTCATTCTAGAACAAGTTTTGAAGGAATATCAACCATGTATACTAAATGCATGAAAAAAGTTAAAACAAGCAATAATGAAAAGGAATTTATGGAAAGCCATGATCATCTAGGTCTTGAAGTGACAAGTTATTAAAAATATAACAAATGAATAAAGAACAGTTACAAATATTTATTAAACTCCTCTTAGTTTGGTACAAGGCTATAAAAGTGGATTATTTCTTGCAAACTGAACTCACTGTACAATTTTCTGTGAAAAAAATTTCTTAAACATTTCTCTGTGTCAGGAGCCAAGTAAAGAATCAACATTTTTTAGCAAATTTTTTGAATGGTAAATGAAATAGTTGCAAAGTGTGTGTGTGTGTGTGTGTGTGTGTGTGTGAATGAGCGTGTTTTCTGCATTTGTAACATTAAAGATTTTTCCTATTTGTTATAAAATTGACTCCAGTTATTTTAATCAGTGAATCTGTTGTCTGGCATACATTGTCTTGTTTTCTCATGTAATGCTTAGAATAATATCTTTAAACATAATTGTTGATTAAAGACTTAAAGTAGATAATCTACTTTCAATAAATTGAATTTGAAGATATGAATGAAATCTGACAAAATGAGCAAATAATAAGCAGCACAGATCAGAAATAATTTTCAAAAATTAATAATAATAATAATTTCAATAAGAAATTCATATACAAGGATACACTTACTTTCAATGTAATGCTCAAACACTCGGTCACAATTATTTCTGATTTTGTGTTAGCACAACCATTGATGGCACCCAAGTTTTTCCAACCCAATTTCACTCACAAGGCTTGGGTCAACCTGTGGTATGGTTTTCAGGCAATTTTCTATGGTTCTACATTCTGGGATCACCTCCCCAGGCCAATAATATCAAAAAGTCATCTTCCTAAAATATTGATTTTGGTGAGATTTGAACATGGGTCTCATGACTGGAAAGTGAACATTCTAACCATTCGGACACAAGCTCATAATCAATATTGTTAAAATAAATAACAATTAATTGGGAAATTGAAGTTTATAATGAGGAACTTTTATCTTCTTTGTGCTTAATTTTTGGAATACCCACCTGCTCTATTATAGTCTAAATATTTCTCTTTCAAGTGATATTTTTATTAATATCCGCTTCTATTTTTCTAGCAATACAAATTAGCTTCTAAATAATAAGAGAATAAACTTAATGCTATCTAAATGTCATGGTGGGTATATTTTTCTCTCAGTATATTAAACAAATGTCTGTACAATGAAAGATGGTTCTGATAATATATTTATTGTTTTCAGAGAAAAAGAATATGCACTTGCACGAAATGGACTGCCACTGATTCAGCCACACAAGCAATCAGGTCCACGTTTTACTGGGGCTGGTTTCAATTTGCGACCAGATAAGACTGCAGCCTGACTCACTGTGAATACTGTGTGATGCCTTCTGAATAAACTTTTCTTTATTCATCTGATAGTATACATAAGCCTACTATAAATATGAATGATTGAAAACATATTTCAAAATTTAGATGAAAATCATATTTTTAGAGTAAATGTTTTCACATTTCTTGTACATGAAATACTTTCTGTTTGTACATTTTCTTTTAAAGAATATTGCTTTTAATATAAAAGTCTCTCTCATTTAGTAGTATATCATAAGTCTGCTTTGAATATGAGTTCAGTATTCTTAATTACTTAATTCATTAAATTTCCTAATTTCTAGAAAACTTCTTTTCTTGGAATCTTTAAATTGACTTGAAACAAATTTTGTGAGTAAATCTTTTATTTTACTAATGGTTTCATTTATGATTTCTTGCTTATTATACAATCAATTTAAAAAATCAATTAACATCAATTTAAAAAATGTCTCCAGTTCTTCATAATTAAATAGCCAGACTTACTTGAGGAATTTCTTATCAAAAGATTTATTGAATTATCTTCTAATTCCTCTAAAAAATGACCTTCTCTTGTGTTTCTTACAAGTTCTAATATTAAATATCTATCTTTTCACTAATGGAATATTTGAGAAAAATCAAATTTGGAAATATAAGTTTCAAGATCTCTAAACTTTGTTCTTAACCTGAATGTTTCTTGGAATGTTCTTCATTTTTTGTTTTAAGTTATCAGAAATAATTTCAACATAGAAATAAAAGACTAATTTTCTTTTCTTTTTTCATTTATACTAACAAATTTTGTTCTCTTTACAAAGACAAAAAATAAATTTTATGATATAAATTAAGGTTTGGTAAATTTTCAGTTAGAAAATTGTAAAATTTTTATGCTTTCAGACATCAAATTTATTTTCTCTTGTGCAACCAGGTTGTATTGAAAATATGAAAGAAATCTGCTTTTGTACAATGTCTTTTGGGTACTTCCCTGAGTTTGCAATATGTTGATGTTGAATCAACACAAGAAAATTAACCTTGATACACATTTTAAACATTTGTTGGAAAAAGAATTGTTGAGGTGACAGTTACAAAAGGACTAACAAAATGTGCATATAAAGAAGTAAATAACGGAAACAAAAACATATTTCCAAATATCAATAAATATTATATGTAATCACAATGTTTTGTTCAATAATTGTCTGCTGCCAAGTTTCTTCTGTTATTGATGTTTACATTACAAATTCATCAATTATTTCCACATTCGTTTTTTTACAGACAAAGGAGTAGGGGCAAAATCAGTGGATAATGAAAAGAAAATTGAAATTTTGCAACCTGGGATTATTGTTTCATTTCTTTCCTACTATATATACTTGAATGAAAGTTTTGAATTATTTAGTTAATAAATCCTAATTGTGGCATAAACAGCTAGTCTGGTAACACGCACCATTCAAGTATTGATTAGCTAGTTCATTAAAATGAAATGCTAAAGATGAGAAGAAAAACTTTGCTGCAAAAGCTTATTGTTTGCTAGAACCATGTGGGTGTTTTTAATGACAGAAAGCCTTAGAGCTTCCAAAATATTACAAGTGCCAATTCAAAGGTTCAATGTTTCAAAATGGGGTTATCCAATTTCAAGTGTCAAGTTTTTCTTACTCAATTATGCTTCATAATTAAAAAAAATAATAAATGCCTTTGATGTTTCTTCCATTCTTTCATTTTGTTGTTTGATTCAAAATTCTCTTTACTAAAAAATTTGAAACATATATAAATGTAATTCATTTGAACCAAGAATGAAATCTAAAGTTAAAAATCTTAGCTTCATATATTTGATTAGTCTCATCGGGTATCAGCATTTTATCAGTGTCTTTTGTTTCTTATCTTGTCATACATGAGAAATAAAAATGTAACATTTGTGATAGTTATAACTTTTGTTTTTTTTCTCTCTCTCTGACTATGGACAGTGATGGCTCTCCACAACTTCCTGTATTTTGTTGTTTTAAATAAGTCTATTTTGACTTTAAACCCTTTTTTTCTTTGATCATTTTGAAAAAAAAAGATGCAACGAGTTACTGAGACAATCAGACAAAGAAAAACATTCAGGAGAGAGAAAATAAAAAAAAGAGAGCATGAATTAAGAAGGGGAGAGATTTGTTAACAGAGAACTTAGTTACATCTTACCATTTCATCTTTAAAATAATGAGATCTAGCTGCTAATCTAGTACTGCATTTAAATTTGTAAAGTTAGCATACCAAAATGGAAAGCTCCTAAGAATAATTGCCATGAAAATATTTATAAAAAAGGCACAGAGAAGCTACATTACAGTGGTGGGAAAATGACTGAAGCTGAGGTGCCAGGTCAGGACCAATTCTTTGGATTTTATCAAGAATCTCTGAATACATAGCCAGATGTGACAGCAATATCCAATGTATGGTGAATGTGTAAGATAGATTCTGATGATAAAAACTATTTAGTGTCAGTGGAATTTGTTAGCGCAAGATAATGAAATGAGTTACACTCTTCAATGTTAGCATCAGGCATGAAACGAAAAAAAAGGTTCTCTCAAACAATTAAGAGAGCAGTTTCCTTTAGGAATCATTAAAATTAACATGCCGTTTCTTGCCCCAGTTAACACAACTGGGGCAAGAAACGGCATGTTAATTTTAATGATTGGAGATAATTAGTTTTAGATCAGCTGCCAATTTGACCTTATTTACCATTAAGATGATTAAATAGCATAAATACCGAAATGAAAACTGATAACACCGAGAAGGTTATTGATGAAAATTATGAATAATGTAGATCCGTGGATAGAGCACTGAGTAAACCTGCATTAATGCAAAATGATCTAGAAAAGTGGTCATTTTAGAAGAAAGATTGAATGAGATCAAAGATTTTATCCAGACATATAACCTTTCAACTTGTGAAGAAGACCAGGTTGCCTTTCAGCAATATTTGAGAACACATACGAAGTTGAGCTAGAGAAGCGAAATCCATATTGCTTGTATGAAATACTGTGAGGTGTGATGCTTAATCAATTTGGAATTGATTAGAGCCACTAGTACTTTGTCAAAAAGAGGCAGAAGGCTAATAGACCGTTAATTAGAAGGATTGTGCGGTTCATCTGAGTTCTTGAAGACTGGAACTACAGAAGAGGATTTCCAACACGGAAGAAGCAGCAAGGTATTTATTGTAGACAAATCAGGAGTAAAGCCTATCGCATCAGGTATACCATCAAGTTCACGTGCTTTATGGGCATCTCATTTAGAGATAGCAGAAATCATGGACGGTGTTGTATTCATATCACACACTAGAGTGGAAAGTCAGGCAAAGATACTGTTGTGGCCTGTTTAGGGGCCAGAAAGAAAGACAAGGAAGACGAAGATAGGTTGAAAAAAGTATATTGAAGATAGATACAAAACAAAATAGTTTTAGTAAGAAGTAGATTAGCACTGAGTCTACTATTTCACTCAATATTTATTATGCAAAAATACATATAATTGTGGCACATGGCCTAAAAGGGGAGGGGGTCGAGGCTGGTCGACACTAACTATCCTATACCTAGCTAATCCGATTCACGACCCATTCACTCATTACAATTTCCACATTCACCATAAAAACTCGTCCGTCACCAATCAATCCTCCATACACCATAATACCGCATCCACTCAAGGGGGACCTACAAAACGCGCCCCATGCCATAAAAATTTAACGATAATAAATACTTAAAATTCTATGATGAAAAATGAGAGGGGAGGGAATGAACCCCAGAACAAACTAAACATAGACACAAAGTGAACTAAACATAACTGATGTTAGTAGGGACAGTCCAACCCTAAAAAATGAGAGGCCGCTGTATTTTGCCCATTGGACAAAATCAAGAGACTCTCTCGCTAAGGGAGTGGGAAAGGAGAAAAAAAATTATACGGACATGGGAAATATAAAAGCTGACCCAGTCGAGATCAAAAGGGGCCAAAACAAACTGGGGAGGTTGGGAATCTCGACTTGGATCATAACCAAAGAGGCTGCTGGGAACAGGCCAGGAACAACATTTACTCACATTAACTAGGTACACAAAGCTTGTGGAGAGGAAACCAACCCGATGTGACATAGACTTGACCTAAAAGAGAAAATCAAGGCTAGCCCTGTTCAAACGAATCAAGCTCGCCTCAGTCACCCACCTTTCGCAAAAGACTGTCGAATGCAAGCGTTTTCTATCAGTTCTAATCTTCATCTTGAGCTGATGCTCAAAGAATCTGATCAGATCCTGATGAGAAAGACGGTTGCCTCGCAAGACTTCTTCCTGTCGCGTCGTCCAAATCACCACTCAGGCCGTGCCCAGCAGCGTCAAAAACACTATTCGTTTCACCCCGGAATACGGGGGCAACACATTGTCACACGCGTATGCGCGATCAATGGGCATGAGCTTTTCGGGAGTGAGACAAGCCGTCAACTCGCCGACATGGTGCCATAAGGGGCGGACCCGAGGACAATGGTAGAAGGCGTGCGAAGCCGTTTCTTCTAAACCAAGGTCACACCGTTCACAGTCTGGCAAATCCGCCAAGCCCCATATGAAGACCTTGTCATTGAGAGGCAGCCGATTCCGAACCAATCGCCAGGTAAACGAAAACTCAGGGTTACTGAGGTAATTTGGCGCCCAAGACCAAGACCAAAGAGCGAAACTCCTCCTCCGACAAGTCGAGCCGCTCACGTAGAGAATCCTTCGCGACCCCCACCACTAAATGACGATAGAAGACCTTCCTAGGCTGAGAAAGGTCACTGGACCGAGGAACAGCCAACAAGGCCGACCGACATTCGCGAAGGAAATCCGATTAATCCCGGGGTTTACGATGGCGCTCAACCCGCGAGATGAGGGTACTGATAGTAAGGAAAGGGAACGCGTCCTTAACAATCCCCGCCATAATCGAATCTCCTGTCAATGCGCGGCGTAGGAAAGCCAACCTCGAGGCAAGTGTGGCTTTCCCACGGACGTTGTGCACAGACTTGTCTCAAGCGGCTTCCTATGGTCTT